AACTCTTTATGTTGTATAGCTCCCTCTCAAGGTCAAGATATCAATTTAGCTATGAAACAATGTTTCTTGACTAAAATTGACCGATTAGCTATTCCCGTTTGGAAATTATATATCACAACTACATATTCTGAGATTTTCATGGTCGTAGCTACCATTGTACGGCCGTAGGCGCTATTTGAAATTTATCAAAATTTACCGGGAGCACCGGTTTTAATTTTTTCTCGAAAACGAGTTCTTTAGATATCAATTTTTTAGTGCTTATAATACATCCACAGGGGCATCCAAATATATCAAAATTGTAAAGATTCACTATCCACCCAATTTTCAAAATTTCCCAAAACTTTGTATCACCTTTAAAAGAGACAATATCAACATTCTCCTGAATTGAAAAATCTATGAACACGGGAGTTGAATGATTAAAATTCCCAGTTTTTTCTAAATTAATCCTTTATTTTCATTTTTTTGACATTCCCTATCACATGAATATTTACACAAACTATTTTCAGGTAAACATCTGTTCTAGGGTTGCTTATGTGCGTAATATGAACAGATTCATATTGTATTATTATGCAGTATCTACTTTTTAATATGCAATTACTCTATTTTGCCTTTAAACTGCTGTGTGAGAAGGAGTACCATAAATATTTGCCAAAGTATTGTGCGATTAGCTAGATCAAACACCACGTATGAAAAATTTCCCATGCATGATTTCAAAACAGAACAAACAAAAATCCACTTTGTGTACTTATGTGCACTTTGAACACATACCTGCATGCATTCATACTGTGTAAATAGATGTTCCCACTTCCACATTATATGTAATTCTCTTTGATGTGTTTAATCTCTTTTATTTTTAATGTTAATTAATAATTTTTATTCCTCAGGATTAAAAAAACATTAATAATTCTTAGTAAATTATTTATGAGGTCCAATTTTGCTCTAATCAAAGAAATAGATGTATAGATGTACCACGTTGGTAACAGAGGTGCTACATTGAAAAGAAAATCTCTCTGTTTATCAAACATTCTTTGAAATGAAAGAATGTGTGGCCTCAATGTTGCCTTTGTCACAGTTGTAATATGTTTGCTTTGTGGAGAGAGCAATTATTCAGATATTTTTAGAATTTGACCTCATACATATTTCTAAGCATTCATGGTTTGTCCCTTATTTCAGTTTGAGTCTAAATATTGAATGAGTGGGAATTAATGGGGGTTATAGAGGGGTTATTATTAATGATAAACGGAAAAGCAAAGTTCATCGCCAGAACTGTTTTGCTTGGTTTTTTTTTCTTATCAATTCTATTATTCAAGAGAAGATGAAGAAGAACAAGACAATTAAAGCTGCAATAACTGCATTCCCATAAGCATTTTACCTTGATTTACTTTGATTTACCTTGATTAACCTTGATGTTGGGCTTCAAGTATAATTACTTATATGCCCCTCTGCAGCAGGATTAATGTCTGTATGTACTGGGGATTGTGCATACGTTGGAGCTTCGGACAATGCAATAGCAAGGAAACATTTCTTTAGGGTTGTACATGTCATATTTAGCTCTCCATGCTTTTTAGTCAAGTAGGAGAGAGAGAGAGAGCGAGAGAGAGAGAGAGAGAGAGAGAGAGAGAGAGAGGAATGAAGAATAAGCCAATGAGCCATAAAAGAATTTCCCTTGAGAGAAAAACATTCTTTAAAATGTTTTTCTGTTATGATGATTGTCACATTGACATTTGAAAACACATTTATGCGTGGTTGTTTTGGTTTTACCCCCGAGCACCCTTCTCTCTAGATAAATGTTGTTTGCACATTCACAGCTATTCATTTTTTTCAGCAAGTGTTATTCGCTATTTTCTAATTATATCTGTATATATGAGGCTTACGAAGAGGGTTTCAAAACAAACTTGAAAGTTTTCTTTATTGTTTGTATGTGTGGGAGATTATTTATATGTAGAAGTTAATTGAGTATTTCTTATATGTTTTATCCTACTAGATCGCTATTTCTCTCCTGGGTATGGAGTAGCAAATGTAGATTAATATCTTGCAAAAGGACATTAGTGCCGTGTTGGGGATTGAAACCAAACCCATTGCATTTCAAGTCAAATTCTTAAACCACTCGACTCCTTGACGATCGTTGATCTCTGAAATAGCGGCCTGAGAATAAGATGATGATGATATCGGTAGAAATAGGCAGATGGTCTTCATGTTCAGGCTCCTTCTAATCTATATAATTATGGTTCAGTGAGAAATATCTATCAATAGGAACAACAGAAAAGGGGGTCTTTTAAAAGTTTACAAGACAGGTGGTCTTTCTACAAAGGTGGTCACTAAAGTAGGTTTGACATGCAGACCTTCATCAACCTTTAGTCAGAAAATTGGTTCACAGATCGATGGTCCATGGGTTAAATCACTCTAAAATACAAACAGTATGCTTTGGTCTTTTGGACCTTCACTCTCCTGAACTGTAGTGTAGGTCAACCGAACCGTCCTCAAATGCAAGGTTATGAAATATCACAGAGGTGAGCAAAGTTCATGTCTTAAAATGCGAGAGGACATTTATGACATCATCATTTCATCCTGTATTGTCCAGATCTGCTGAGAGCCAGAAGGGCATTTACTCTGCAAAGACATTGTCTGTTTGGAGCCAAAACAGCATCAAATGTGTATTCATGTATATGAGACGCCCTTGTGGCTTGAACCAGACAATTTATCAGGATATCGGGATCTGCATGTGGTTGATATGCCTGTAAAAACAGGAAATATAAGCTGTAGGAGAAGTGGGGGTGGTGTTTTCCAAAGGGAAATATACAGTTAACAATTAAATTATCCATACCTCTTGTAAATTTGAGGTTTTTTGTGTTTTTCGTCACTCAAGAATAAAAGGTGGACAAGTTGAATTATACTTTTTTGTTGAATACTTTTAGATGTAAACGATTCTTAATGTGCAAAGGTGGTGACTCTCCTCTACACTCTCGTCTGTGCTATTCTCAAGATACATAAATTGGGGCAAATCAACTTTTCACATACCTAAAAAAATTAAACAAATTGGTAAGGGTATGAATAATTTGGTGGTTAACTGTTTGTATGTGCCGCTCATCCCACTTCCACCTTGTGGTGCCATACCAATAGCAGTTGATTATTGTGAAATTCCACCAGTACAAATACATTCATGAAAAGTCAACATTCTTGAAATGTCTGTTTGGGGAATGGATCATTTGTTAACAAAGGAAATGGGATTGTGATATATTATGATTGCTACATTAGAAGATTTCTCAGACAAAACACACATAGAGAGTCAACGTTCTTTAGTTTTGTGTTTTTCATTTACTTTTCACTTGAATCTGAACTCAAAGGAATTTTGTGTTTTTCATTTACTATTCAAGTTTATCAGAACTAAATGGAGTAATATCACAGGTTAATTGATTAACTTCTGGATTCCTAACAAAACATAGCAGACAAAAGAGTTCAGACAAATACTGGAAGTTTTGAAACAATACGCTTTATCCAAGAAATTAACGCACTGAATACTGGAACTGGATGGCTCCTTTAAAAACTGGATTAAAGCATGTGGGAATGAGAGAATTTAGTTTTCAAAGGGTTGAAAATATTATTGAAGCCACACAAACCAAACTGTATAGAGATGTTGTGTATGAACAACAATCAGGTGACTGGATGTGTGACCATTGTTTTTCTTCACAAATGTTATCAAGATACCCAATTAAACAATTCTGTATGAGGCATGTAAAGACAAATATGACTTTAATAGTAGCAACCTTGTCTTTCTAAAGGTCAGCTATCTGTAGCCGTCCACAGTTAATACATCATTTTAATTTCATGATTTAAGCTTCTTTAATTTATTACCATAATTAAAATGATGCAGGTACTGTTCATTTAGCCAGAAAGGAAATATATGAGGGATAGGCTTACCTTGAAAAGGCAAAATCATTAGGTGCAAAAAGGGGTCCCTGTTAAAAAGGAGATTGTCAAAACTACTGTAATTCATGAAAAGGATAGCATATACAATGTGGTTTGATGTTTTTTAAATTCAATTTGAAAAGAATTAAGATATCATTCAATATGACCCATGATGATGCAAATGATTATTTGATGGTAGATAAAATAAATAAAATACAATAACCCCAAGATATCCATATTGTTGCTGGTATGCGTGTCATGATGTACATGTAGTCAATATATCATTGACAGAGGGTGTCACATGACTAGGTCATATGATGCTCTCATAACCATATGATGGCCTTGTCTTTAGTTTTTCAAAACACTTGTAATAAAATTGAAATAATATATTGTTGCTTGTCTGGCCTCTATATGCTTTGTTCTTAACAAGAAAACAGTAATATGATGCCAAAAATACCTAGAAATGAAAAGTATAACATTAATTTGGCCCTTACACTTTAATCTTGTTCATTATGTTTAGCCTACATGTGTATGGTTCTTGATATGAAAACAGTATTATGATGCCTAACATACTGAGAAGTGAAAAGTATTTAAAAAAAAGATTGGGGCCCTTACACTGTAATCTCGTTCAGTATTTTGAGAGGATAGGTAAACCCCATAGAGAAATCAATAGGTACAACATTGAAATGATCATGATCATGTTTAAACTCCAAAGAGAGTTGATTTTTTAAATGCACCATGTTTTATGTTAGACAACAATCCTAAGCAAATGTGAGTTCTTGGTTCTAAGTCAAACTGGCCAGACTTAAATTCTGAGAAATGTTGTCTTTTGATGACTTTCATACCTTTACATGAAAATAATATAATTGTTACAGACTTTATTCCCCAGACATGTCATGAGGTTTCTGTCAGATTGATCTACATAATTGACATGTTTTTCTCAAGTTACTTATTCAACCAGTAAACATCAAGTGAGGTTAATAACCGTTCATTCGATAATTACATTGTTCTTGCAGTCATTGAAGTACATTGTATTTGACTAGTTGTTATCACATGTTTGCTCATATACTACCTTCAAGGATGTCTGGGTTGACCTAGGGTTGGTTGATCATCTGCAGAGATAAACAAAAGAACATTGTATTTTTTTTAAAACTGTAACCTTTGAAAATAGGGTTCGAATTTTGAAGCTATTTGATTTTCTAGGCCTTGTAGTTATCAGTTGTTAATTATTTCCTATGCCATATTTGACATGTGATAAAATAATGATTCAAAGAATTGTCCAATATAGATATATTATCAGTTTACAGATTAATTGATGATATTGTAACACAGCTATATTAACATAATTTGCATCATAATGACACAATAGACGGGTTTACTAACATATGTAAGTTTACGCATACTTTTTAAACAAAGGTTGTTCTTTGACAATCGAAAAATTGACAGAGGCTTGCCAGACATCGCAACAAGTAATCTATGCAGACTGGATTCCAAGTATTGTAGTTCATTCATAAATAAAAGGTTAATGGGATAACTCATCACCAGGAAAGAAACAGCTATAAATGTGTATATGTTAGTAAACAGATGTAAGAACAATTTGAAGTTGTGTAACTCAGCATATTCAAATATAATCATGGAATCTGAATTGACTAATATTTTATAAGTGTATATAATTTTAAATTATACCATGTTGTTTCAAAATAAGAGAAATGCTTGTAATGACAGCAAGTTATTATGTATGATTACATGTTGATATGTTTGTACAGTATTGTGCTACGTAATTGGCTGAAAATGGATTGTTGTTTATGTTTGGAAGCTAAATTCAGCAGAAGAGATAAAAAATAAATGTGTACGGTCAATATCATTATGTCAATTTGGTTTATTTCTCTCTCTCTCTCTATATAATGCTTGTTATTGTTATTATTCTCACACAGAGAGAGAGAGAGAGAGAGAAAGAAAGAGAGATACTTGTATGGTTTCACATAAAAGTATATAAATACATCACATGTTTACTTACGAAGCAGTTAGTCAATATTAGATATTTGATTACTGCATCAACAAGTCTTGCATGCATGGTTTACACGTAGACCCGAGCCTCAGAGGACATTTTGGGAGGATAGAAAGAGAGAAACAGAGCCAGAGACGGGGATACAGAGAGGGAGGGAGGATAAAAACACTCTGTAAATGGAGATCTGTTGTTTAATTAAACAGAGGTCTTGTGTGTTTTTTACCTTGACCATTAATACAATGCATATGCCTACAATATTTGAACAGAATTATTAGCAGGCATGTTTTAATTGTCCAGCATTAAAAGGTGTGAGAGATTGGAAATATGAGAGGGAGGGGAAAGAGAGAGAGAGAGAGAGAGAGAGAAAGATAGGGAGTGATGGAGGTAGAAGGAGTGCAAGGAGAGATTGGGGAAAAGAGAGAGGAGATGAGAGATGCAAGAGAGAAAGAGGGTTAGGAAAAGAAAAAGTGAAAGTGTTGAAGAGATAGAATGAGAGAGGCAGAGAGTAAGAAAGTGAGTGAGTGAGAGCAAGAAAGAGTGAATGAGAGAGAGAGAGAGAGAGAGAGAGAGAGAATGAAATAGGAAAAAGAGAAAGGAGATGATATAACATATGCTTCCAATAATCATGTTTATTCCGCCAGACTTTTCCCATGTCGCACAGAATGTAATGAAGCTTAGAAAAGATAATATTGTTGATCTTCTTCTCTATCTCTTTGTTTTCTCAAGGGATACCTGTTAACGCGCCAGAAAACAAGGCCATGGCAAGCTCATTCTATTTATAGCCCTCCTCCATACCTGGCACGCGGTTGTGTCATGATCGCAGTACGGGGCAAACAAGCTACTTATTCCGACACCTCGCATCGATTGGAGCGAGAGACAACCTGAGAGATGGATCACTTCAAGCGAAAAGATGGAAATAGCAATTTCCCTCTCTTCTCGCCTCCTCTTGGTTCTTACCTACCCCCCCCCCCCCCCCCCTCTGTAAATCATATCCATATCTATTTCTATCATTGTCTCTTCTATTTTACCCCTCCTTTCTCTTTTCCTCGTCTCGTTATTCCCTAATCTGTCCCTGTTTTCTCCACATCTTATTTCTCTCTTCATTTTGTTATCTTGCTTTTGTTCTCTCTCCCTCTCCGTCTCCCTCTCTCTCCCTCCCTCTCTGTCTCTCTCCCTCCCCTCTCTTTCTTTCTTTCCTTGCCAATCTATATGGTCTATGTTTTCTATACACATTTGATTTCTCTGTTTACTTTCATACTCTCTCTCTCTCTCTCTCTCTCTCTCTTTCTCTCTCTCTCTCTTTCTCTCCCTCTGTCTGTCTCTCTCTCTCTCTCTCACACACACACTCTCTCTCTCTTTTCTCTCTCTCTCTCTCTCTCTCTCGCTATCCTCCTCCAACCTGACAGTATATCCTCCACCCCGCATCCTGCTCTCCATCTTCCCTCAGAAAAACACTCCACATTGTCCTCCATCTGAACTCCGCATCAGACTGCACACATCACATTAGAAACTAGTCTATCACCACAGAACCCTTAAGAGATTAACACTAAAACAAATACCAGCATTTCCATGAAAAGAGAACAACTGGATCACAATCAGCATCTTTTCATATTCACAGTGATAAAACATACATGTACATAATAATTGGTTATGTGGAAGCGAAAAGGCTGCATTATTCATATTTGTTAAAATATTTGTTTGTAGTAGAATCAGATTAAAGTCTGTATCTACAGAACACCATGAATTATTTGCCAATGTGAGACATGGCATGTACACCGTGGACCTCACAGACAGAGAGCTATGCCAAATTAATTATGTCTGAATATTGACAAGTTGCATTAAAATAATTCATCATCTATGTCATTAAATGAGAATGTCATTCACTTCTGCTCTACCCTTCACACCAAGCGTTTCATTTAGATGCAATATTTAGTAGTAGATGTATGTGTTGATGTAGATATAGTAGATGTACATGTACTGGTGATTGTAGTATTGTTGATGTTGAAGCTGAAGTAGATGTAACAGTAGCAGTAGTAGTAATAATGGTAGTAGAAGCATTCGTAGAAGTGGAAGTAGACGATGAAGAAGCAATAGTACAAGTATAAGAAGAAGTAGTAGATGTAGAATTATAATTAGATGAAGATGTAATAAACGTAGAAGTAGAAGTAGATGTATAAGGTTAAATAGATGTGGATGAAGAAGAAGATGTAGCAGTAGTAGCTGTATAAGTAGATGTAGAAATATAAGTATAAGTGGATTTAGATGTAGAAGTAGAAGTAGTAGATGAAGAAGTAGAAGATGAAGTAGTAGAAGATGTAGAATTAGAAGTAGTAGATGTAGAAGTATACGTAGATGTAGAAGTAGAAGTAGTAGATGAAGAAGTAGAAGATGAAGTAGTAGAAGATGTAAAATTAAAAGTAGTAGATGTAGATGTAGAAGTAGAAGTAGAAGTAGTAGATGTAGAAGTAGAAGTAGTAGATGAAGTAGTAGAAGTAGAAGTAGTAGATGTAGAAGTAGAAGTAGTAGATGTAGAAGTATACGTAGATGTAGAAGTAGAAGTAGATGTAGATGTAGAAGTAGAAGTAGTAGATGTAGAAGTAGAAGTAGTAGATGTAGAATTAGAAGTAGTAGATGTAAAAGTAGAAGTAGAAGTAGAAGTAGTAGATGTAGAAGTAGTAGATGTAGAATTAGAAGTAGTAGATGAAGTAGTAGAAGTAGAAGTAGTAGATGAAGTAGTAGATGTAGAATTAGAAGTAGTAGATGTAGAAGTATACGTAGATGTAGAAGTAGTAGATGAAGAAGTAGTAGATGTAGAAGTATACGTAGATGTAGAAGTAGAAGTAGTAGATGAAGAAGTATACGTAGATGTAGAAGTATACGTAGATGTAGATGTAGAAGTAGAAGTAGTAGATGAAGAAGTATACGTAGATGTAGAAGTATACGTAGCTGTACATGTAGAAGTAGAAGTAGTTGATGAAGAAGTAGTAGATGTAGAAGTATACGTAGATGTAGAAGTAGAAGTAGTAGATGAAGAAGTATACATAGATGTAGAAGTATACGTAGATGTAGATGTAGAAGTAGAAGTAGTAGATGTAGAAGTAGAAGTAGTAGATGAAGTAGTAGATGAAGAAGTAGTAGATGAAGTAGTAGATGAAGAAGTAGAAGATGTAGTAGAAGTAGATGTAGAAGTAGTAGAAGATGTAGAATTAGAAGTAGTAGATGTAGATGTAGAAGTAGAAGTAGTAGATATATAGATGTAGCTCTATAAGTAGATGTATTAAATGTAGATGTAGAAGTAGAAGTAACTAAAAGAAGTAGATATAGATGTAGAAGTAGAAGTAGTAGATGAATAAGTATTAGTAGATGTAGAAGTAGAAGATGTATAAGAAGTAGCAGAAGAAGAAGTAGTAGATGTATAAGAAGTAGCAGAAGTAGAAGTAGTAGATGAAGAGTATTAGCAGAAGTAGAAGTAGTAGATGTATAAGAAGTAGCAGAAGAAGAAGTAGTAGATGTATAAGAAGTAGCAGAAGTAGAAGTAGTAGATGTAGAAGTTGTAGATGTAGAAGTATGAGTAGATCTAGGAGAAGTAGACGTTTTCCTGACATGTATATATCATCTCTTCCCTTTATCTGTCCTTCTGCCTCCTTTCATTGTTCATCCGGATGATGCTCAACCTTCAGCATCTCGTTTCCAATCTCCTTGAAATTTCCCAGCTTTTGTTGACAGCCTTCTTTCTTCCGTTGCCCATTTCTCCATTTAAGAGACTCAAGGTCTAAGCTCTCTTCACTTATCTTCATCTAAGATTGTCTCCTCTGTTAGCTTTACACGTTGTCCATCTGACCTCTCCATTATCAATTATCCGTTGCCAAGGGGACGGTAATGATTGCCATCATCTCTTCCCGGCCGCATCCTCTAGGCTGCGTCGTCAAGGATGAGAGAAAGAGGGGAAGAAGGGGAGAGGGGGATGGGGAAATAAGATTATAGAAATATCGGGGTTCATGTAGTCTTGTAGAGAGAGAGAGAGAGAGAGAGAGAGAAAGAAAATAGAGAAGGAGAAGGAAATGAGGTAAAAGAGAGGAGAGATAGAGGGAGAAAGAGAGAGATAGTGAGGACGAGAGAGTGTGATATGAGAGAGGGGGGGGGGGGGGCAGAAACTACGTTGACCCGTTGCATGTTATTGATTAACGTGATGATGCTTCCGTGGCGTGGCGTACGCGGCTATAACACCAGCAGGACCTCGAGTGAAATATCAAGCAAAATCGTATTGATTCTAAAAGATCTGTGATAGCAATCGGATACTGTAGAAGGCAAGTGAAGTAAATGGTAAATACTGTAGACAGAGAGAACGTATGATAATTTTGTTTTAATTGTAAGTCTACTTTGAACATATTTTACACGAGATACAAATTAATAAAGTGTTTTTTCCCCCAATTTTTCCTAATGGATTCATAGATTACAAGCAAATTAATAATATATCGTTTGTTCTAAATAGGTAAAAAGATAAACTTCTGTCTTTCTGTACGTCAAATTATACTTGTTAATTTAAAAGGTAAAGACCAGTATTGGAAACGCCCCAATTTCAAAAAATGAAATGGAAGCTCTCATTACCAATCATGTGAAAGAATATGTTTTGACTAATACATGATGATAAAAAATTTGCTGGGAAACCGCCTACTAATTCATATATTTGGTAAATTTGTTTCTCTCATGGTTTGTCAGAGATATAGGGTAGTCCCATATACATCTTTCTGTGTATAGTGCTTGTAACTTTACGAAGAATGGGCCAAATTTCTTATCATTTTGATGATTCCAGAACATTGCAGATGCTAGATGCTAGATGATCAACCTTTTCTGATCGATTCCACAACGTTTCTTTCACAATGCAATCGCTTGACCAGAACTGGTCTTTACCTTTAATACATGATCATGTATTTAGGACAAAATTACAATAATTTCTCTCTCTCTCTCTCTCTCTCTCTTGTTTAGGGATAGAACTTTGATAACATGATAATAATTAATCATCAAATTTATCGAAAATGCCGGGGATAAAAAAATTATCGTAATTTCATAACAGTTACTTTTAATAATCTTTTGACAGAAATGATCTAGAAAAGCGTACAACTAGGACTCAATTCTGCAATTTCACAGAAAAATTCTGCATGGCGAGGTATTGTTGTATTCCCCTCTCGAAACAGGTTTATTTTAGCCTGGCCTGGTGAGATGCCAGAGGTCCTTGGCCCATTTTGTCACATCCATGCGCAGTCTCCATGTGCAGTCGCCTAGAAACTAGGACAATCCAATATCAATTATTTTGTTTGTTATCTCTGTTTTTTGGCGCGAACCAGACGGTGCCTCGGGAAACCTGATACAATGATCTCTCATCCTTTTCATTGTTATCTTTGGCTTTCATCGTCACACTTTCTCTTCTTAATCATGTCTACCCTGTTTACCCTTTCCACCATTTTCGATGCACATCTTCCTTTATGTATTTTAGATTAAATAAGTCAACTTCTCCTATCCCCCATACATCTCCCCCCCCCCCCGCCCCCTCTCTCTCTCCTCCTATTTTGTCTCTCTTATCTTCTTACTCTCGCTCTCACTCTCTCTCTCTCTCTCCTTCTATTGTAACTCTCTCTTTTCTTTTCTTTTTTTTTCTCTCTCTCTCTTTCCTAATTTGTCTCTCTTTCCCAATTTGTCTCTCTCTTTTCTTTTTAGTTCTTATCTCTCTCTCTCTCTCTCTCTCTCTATCTCTCTCTCCTATTTTGTCTCTCTCTCTCTCTCTTCTTTGTAACTTTTTTGTTGTCTCTCTCTCTCTCTCTCTCTTCATCATATTCATCTCCCTTTATTTCCACTACGATTCATTCCAATTCAAAACATTTTTCATCCCAATAAATAAACCCACTTTCCTCATTAGCTAACCCAGTATGCTAATCTGCATGCAATATGCATTCACGTTCCAATTAGAGAAAAAAGACATGGTCCATTAGGTAAGAGCGCTGTTGATGGAAAATCTAATAATAAGCGATGGGAGTATAAACACCCCCCCCCCCCCCCACCACCACCACCACCACCACCACCACCCTCTCTCCTTCCCGCACATACTCCAACGTCACCTTTCATTCCTCCTCTTAACCCCTTTCATCTTTGACCCCCCCCCCCTTCCATCATCTTCGTCCTCCGACGGGAAAAAAGATTATGCAAATCTTTGTTGAAATCTCATCTTAAAGGATTAGATACCTTTTCGCCTAATGTACCTATTTATACACATGTACATATTCCATTACAGATTGTGAATAATGCTGTACACCTCTTGATTAAAAATTAGAATATAAATTGATTTAAAACAAAACAGAAACTAAACTAAGCTTCTTCCCCTAACGGGAAGAAGATTATGCAAAATCCTTAAAAACCTAGTTTTAAATGATTAGATTTTCCCCATCCAAAGTACCTTTGTCAATATAACAACAGTGTTTAATCTCTTGCCCAATATACAAACTGATTAAATTCATATAAGAGTACGTAATTTAAAAAGAATGATAAGAAACGTATTGGAGTTTTGAATGAAACTGAGGCGTGCATATACTAGATTGTGCAAGAACTATAACATATGTGTCATAATCCTCTTTAAAAAAGATATACATGTCAACAAAATATAAGTGACTTGTGACGGGGACGCCATAACGATACATAGTTATAGATTGCCTAAAGTATCTTCGCTCCAGTGATGTCGAGGCAGCAAACAGCAAGAAACTGTGCGAATAATCACTTGGCTTGAGAAAGTCAACAGGAGTGGATGAAAGTTTGCCCACTAAATGTTAAGTTTGCATGGTAGAAGCTTAAATTACGAGTCATGATTACTCCCCAACCAATCAAACTTTTCTGTATCATACATGAAATATCTTGATAAAAGTAATAAAAGAGTAGAATTATCTTCAGGTAATCTACGCAAATGCTAAATGCGGCGCTCATGATAAAACCGCAATAATCGCAAATACCCTACACGCTCCTGTTCATTATTGTTTCCACTTGAACAATATTCAAATAATATGCATGGCCGTCACCGGGCCTGGATGGGAGATGGACGTGGGTGAAGGATGCTAGACGGATCGCATCCTCTTCTAATGGCTGTCATTAATTTGAGTAAACAGTAAGCAGCATCTAAAGCGAGCAGTGGTCGTGGTAATAACGAGTTCAATTGGCGTTCATTTGCGGACGACCGTCAGTAAATGGTGTCAACGCTGTGTTAAATAAAACAGCAGCGAACGAGTGGTTAGGTGGTGGTTGTAGTCCGACAGAGAGTTTAGTACACGACATCGATAGGATCTCCCTTTCTCTTTCTCTCTCTTTCTCTCTCTCTCTCTCTGCCTCTCTCCATTTATTCATGTCCATCTCTCTCTCAATCTCTTGATCTCTCTCAATTAAACTGTTATTTTAACCGATTTGCAGAAAGCCTGATGTATGTGTTTATAAATACACTTGAAACCTCCCTTCTGTCTATGAATCAATCTCCCAACAAAATTGACCCCCCCCCCCCCGGAAAAATAGATGATGATGATTTAGGAGGAGGAGGATGATCACGACAGAAGAGGATGATGAAGGCGACGACGATGATGATGATGATGGTCATGATCATGATACTTTGGTGAATAGAACGATGATGTTGATCATGGTGATGATTGTGAGATTGATGTGGTGGTGACTAGGATGATGATGATGAGCAGGAGGAAGAGGATGATGGAAGGAAGGGGAAGATGATGAATTTTATAACAATTAGGCCAACAGTGTGATATTTTTCTCTGCATACTTGTTTTGCCATTTCAGTTATGTGGGCATGAAACCATAAGAAATTGGAAGTCACGCAGTTTTACTTTTTCTTCATTGTCAGTAAACTATTTTTAAACAATGCTTTTTGATCAGCCCATAGAAATCCTGCAAAGTTGATGCCCTATCACGATATTCGAATGATTTGCTCGATTCTGTGAATTATTTTTACATCTCTCCCAGGAAGTGATTACATACTCACGAGCTAAATATGGCAACACTTTTTGTTCGAAAGGGGCTGAAGATTAGCTAAACTTAGACAACTTTACATCACAATGTAAGGAGGTAGTGAACCCATATTGTCGTAATTATGGCTAATGATCATCATGTGTGCTATTTATACAAAGAAATAATCAGCGGCTTAATATAGGGGCACTACTCGGCATGTGCCTGAGCACAGGGCTTGAGAGTAGACAATCGTTCGGAATGGGGCGCATTCTAATATTCCAGGAAGTTAGGTAAATAATAATCTAGTAGTTTATGAATAAATGGTAAATAACTTTCAATCCGTAGTTATATATATACAGATCAGTATTGTTAGGCTAACTCAGAGATGTGTAGACAGACATGATTTATATATTCCAATAAAATCACATATCGAAACCATATGCTTATGAAAATCAAACCTTATATTTGAATACTCATGTATGCCTATTTCATAACTCACTCTTTTGAATAATTAAAAT